TTTAAATACTTCTTTGTAGTTCCCAGGTAGGTTTCAATAAGGAAGTTGGTGGGCACAAGTTGGTGACCACTTTTTTGAGTTTATTAATATTTAGCAATCACCATTTATATGAAAGTATAATAACTGCATTTTCTAAATGAACATGTTATATCTTTGTCTAATAGAATGTCAAAAGCTATGATACTGATGTCTACAGTATATTATTTTCTCATATATATTAAAATAATACATTAGAAAGAAATTTCTACCAAGGCAGTTTATAGCATAGAAAGGAAACAAAAGATGAGCAAGAGAAGACAGCCCTGAAATTTTGGGCACTACTGTTTTTATAACCCTCTTTTTTGGAGGAATGAGACCAAAATCGAACTAACATAACTGGACATAACTATGTCCAATTCTAGAGGAATTTCAAGTCCATATGTCTGTTACCCATCTTATTTACAGATGACATCATCTTATTCAATGTGAATAGTGAATATCAACTTTGATATTAGCATCATGATTTCTACTACATCTCAATCATCAAATTCTACAAATACGGACCAGTGCCAACAAACTTTCATTTTCAAAGGTCTTTATTGCTAGAGTCAAGTTTTCAATTCCAGCTCCTGAAAATAACATGCCAATGAAATTATCAAAACATTAGCAGAATATAGGCTTTCAGCAATTTAAATACACTAATATCAAATATTCCACAAAGGTGTTTTTTTACTGGGCCTTTCCTTAGAATATTATATTGATGCCCAGAGTTCTTTTTGCCTCGGACTTCTAAGTGAAGACATAGAACAAAGCACAGCTATCTTGGACGGGGAGATTAGGTGGTTAGCTGCAGCAGAAAACTCACACCCTACAAACTTCACAATTCATGTTAGCATCAATTTTTTTTTATTATTATCATTTTTTTTTTTTTGATGAAGTACCATTTTCTTACATCCTTGCTGATTTTTTTTTTTTTTTTGACAATAAGAGGAATTGTCCCCTCAGGCATGGTCACATTAAACTGTCCCACCACTAAAACACCCATCGTTCTCTACATAGTCCATTGCGTTCTCTGTCTTCCTCTATTTTGACCCTCTTGTATCTCCACCCCTCCAGGATGCCTCATACTTAGGGTCAGCTTTCAAGGGTTTCTTTTAAGTTTTGTCTTGGACCCTTTGTTTTGATTTCTCTATATTCCACATATAAGTGACACCAACTGTTATTTTTCTTTCTCCTTGTGGCATGACCACTTAACATTTTCTGGTCACTTTCTTGACAGACTCAAGATGAATGCGTTCTTTTGTCAAAGGCTTGTCTCCTTCACAGAGGAGAGTGGCACACACATATTACAGGTCCTGTGACTCAAAAGACTAACATATTTTCTGTTCATAGGATTTTTTTTTTGTAGCTTTTATAGCCTTGGATTATGTCTTCTTGAGACATTTTTTGGGTAGCTAAGAGACAAATATTGACCAAACTAGTGAAGTTTGGCCCCTTCAGAGTCAGACAGTTTTGTCAGGGTAATGTAGTGAAAAATACACTCAAATGAAGGTCAGGAAAGTGTGCCAATAAGACAATAAATAAAAAGGTCCCATCATGTCACAGACATAAGCATACACACCAAGCCCATACCTCCTGCACTGCCCAGCGTTTGGAGCTTTGGGTACTAAACCTTATGGACTGAAAACAGAAAGGGAAATCTAAACTGAGAAGACATAAAAGGGAGCAGTTCACCATACGGACATTTTTTGGTTTTCATTACTCATGAAATGCCCTCTTATTTTGTCTGTAGTATGATATATAGTATTTGTAGTATTGGCTAAGATGCCTATAAACATTTCATAAATGTGAAGGTGTCAGTCTTCTCTTACCTTAGACAGTTAGCCTGTAGAATAGTCAGTCGTCACAAGGTTCAGCAAACCACAGTGTCTATAACAGACAGTAGAAGTTATTCATAAGTACCAAGTTCCATGTATCCATTAGTAACCATCAGCTGTGTCCTACATTACAAATTATTATTATTCATAACATTCTCACATTCATTATCTTGTTTCACAATTAAGAACCCAAGAAGAAATGAGAAAGAATAGTCTTCCTCATAATTGAGGAAACCAAAGGTCATGGAGGCAAAAACAAGATAAGGCAAAAATGAAATCTCTGACTAGCTTCACAAACATAAAAATGAGCATTACTGTCTTCTTGTTATAGATGAGGAAAGTGAAGATCAGAAAACGCTCCTAACACTACACATCACAGTATGTGTAGAGTGTATCTGGACTCTCTAACTCTGTGTAGGGACAAGTAATCTTTCCTAGATATCTTAGTTCTCCTAGGATAGTAGGTCTGGAAATCAGAAAGACAAACACTGATTTGATCCAGTAAGCTTGGTGGAAGAGTGAATTAAAAAATAAAACCAGCTATTTGATTGATATAGGAAATAAGAAAAAGACATGGGATTTACAACCAGTAAAATTTGAATTTCTCTTACCAAAGGCCTTAGGTAAGCTACTTAAACTCTGAGTGTACATTTCCTTACATGTAAATGAGAGTTATAGTAACTATTTTACAGTTAAAACTCAGTTAAACTTTTTTTTGGAAGAATATCTTCCATCATTTCATATCTCTCTATATAAACAGGAATGGCATATAAAATGATAATGTTCCTTCTTCTGAGTCCACTTACATGATCACAAAACAATTTTATTAGCATGCAAAACTAGAAAATACCTCTAAAGTGGGCATATCTTTGATTTTTACCTCCAGATTTAAAATAATGTTCATCCATACTAACCACATATGGCCTCACCTTACAACAACACAAGGAATGTATGTTTCAGAAGGCAAAGCCTCAAAATGTAAAAAAGAGAGTTGAAAAACTAGTTTTTTTTTCAACTATAAAAAGCAAGAGATACTGCTTTAAGTGAAAATTATAAAATTGTGTTATACATCATTTTACATCGTGTGTCTCTATTGTGTCTTAGGGTCAAAGAAATTGTGCTTCCAAAAACATTTGGAAAACAGGCAATTTACCACAATTGATAGAATTATAGGTAAATATAAAACCTTGAAAGTTTTATTAAAATATCCCACATTCATGTAGGACACAAATCTGATAAAGAACAGAACATTGTTGATGGGATAAAATCAAGAATTTTTTTTTTTTTATCATATGCTACTGAAATGCAAACATTCATTATCTTTTAACGTTATACTTTATGGATTGAAAAGTATCACATGATCATTATATTTCAAATCACTCAGTAAAAATCCAGTGAGATCTTATTCCAATTTTACCAATAAGGAAACCAAACTTCAAATATCACAGTTAATATAGGGTAGATAAAAATCTGATTTTGCCTCTTGGTCCAAAATCAGTGAGCTCCCTCTTAACTGCATGCAGCAGACACCCATTAGAATATGATATGTGCGGAGGGAGAGGAACAATGAGTGTATGTCATGGTCCAAGCACATTTACTATTTGGTTCTGCTTCATTGGCAAGTAAAAACAGGGAGCGTAGCCTTCAGATTTGTGGTCTAACCAGAAGGTGACACATTATTTAGCTGAATCAAAAGGAGTGTTCATTGTAAGTGTGCCTTAACACTCTCAGCTCGCCCCTGAAGTCTCAGAGACACAACTTCCCTGGGCAATCTATCAAAACACAAGCCACAGAAACAACAGAGAAGCTGGCACCACTGAATTGTTGACAAGGGATTTTCATCCACAAGGCTCATCTTAAAGCAGTAGAGAAGCTGACACCTCCTCAACTGAGGTTTCCCAGACCTCTTTACACAGTTTGTGTTAGTGTGCTAGGTACGCCCCAGGTATTCCCCGATGAAATGAGGTTCTCCACCAGACCCAGAAAGATACCTGGTGGACGGGATTGATCCCTTTCTGGGTTATGTGTCATGAACTCAGTGATTCTTGACTGTCCCTATGTGTTTCATGACTGCTGACCCAAAAGCTGGCAGATTTACAGTTTTAGTCAGACCACCCATTCTCTCCCAATAAAAATAGTCTCCCTTTCAGAAGCAATTTAAACTAAAATAATAGTCTTGAAAAAATACAGTCTCTATCTAACTTGTATCATTTTAACCACTATTAGAATCTATGTAAAAGCAAAACTCACCAAATGTAATTGGAACTGTTAGAAGATAATGGATAATTTATTCTGTATTTCAGGAATAAAGGAGGGAACAAATAAAATCAAGAAGTAGGGAGGTTATAGGGAATAAAGAAAAAAGAGGAAAGTAATGAAAGGATATGTGAAGTGAACAAAGCAGAACATATTTATTTCAACAGGTCACTCATTCACCCAGGTATTTCTAAGTTGACCACTGCATCTCAGGACATTTTAAACAATGTTACTCTAAGATGATAAATCTAACTAACATACATGAGCAAAAATTCCATCAGAATTGCTAAAAGCATTATAAAAATACCTCATACTATGTGGCATTTTTCAAGTGCTAACATACAAATGAGTAATATGACATATTCTTGTACAAACGTCCAGTAAACCAATAACTATGTAAGTCATCAGTTCTGTGACACCTGAGTTTATTTCTGAAGAGAGTTCCTGGTTGAGGGCTTTAGCCCTCTTATCACTAGAATTCCCAAATCTTTTGAATTGGAAGTTAGATTAAATATTCATTTTTGGAGAATTGTCACAGGCCTTAACCTTGATTACTCCTAAATTATTGCATCTAGACTATGTGCATTTGGTAAATTTTACATAGAGGTAGAGGATATAGTAAAAGGGTTATTTCTCCCAAGATTTGTTTGCATTAAACAATGTTATCATCTTAAACATCATTATTAGAAAGACTGCCTCCAAAAGCAATTGAGCTATTAAATTAGACAATTAGACCAAAGACATCAGAGGACAAACACAAATGTCCTCCATTCCCATCATCAAATTCTATATGAAGAATTTTTAAATGCACTCTCTCACCCTCTTCCCTAAAATACTTATCAAAAATACAACATATCCCAGGGCTTATGAATGATTTGGTTGTCTCATTAAAGTAATGTTTGCCAGCATTTAATTGCTTCCCTCCCTGATTTTAATTTCCTCACCTGTCAGCATCTATCAGAGGCACTGAGATCTTCTGACATCCTGGCTGATTGTGTTGAAATTAATCAGATTTTTAAAAAGTAAATTGCTTTGGCCTAAAGGTAGTGCTCAACTTCTTAATGTGATATTTATAAAGGTTCTATCAATGGAACTTATAATCTAAAAATTAAATGTGAAACTCAAGGAGTCCTAAAGAATAAAGAAGTCTTAAGCAAAAATACCAGTAGCTTACAAATTACCAGCACAGGATTTTAATAGATCAGTACATTAAAAAAAAAATCAATCAACAAGTGATTACTGAATATCTTAGCACTTAACACCAATCAGTTTTGGATAAACAGGAGAGTAAACCATACAGCTACCTCAGAAAGTTTGGGGAAACTGTAAAACCTCAGCAAGCTAAACTCACCCTGAAAAGAAGCTATATTTTAAAGAGCTATATTGTATTACAATTTTGGACAGTTATAACTTCATGTAGATTAATGATTTTACTTTCCTTGAATCCAGTGAGGTCAAATTAGTGCTATTATCAGTATAACTGCAATGTTTCATTTGACAAGTGGCAAAGTTGAGGTATAGAATACTGAAGGGACCCCTTCTCAGACACCTTGTTATAGGCAGGTGTGGTCTTGTGATCTAAAGAAAATCAGAAAATATGTTTTGACCTCTTGGGAATAAAGAGACAAAAAAAATTCCTTATAAATCCTCCAAACATAATTATTCAGTGTTAATTCTTGTACAAATATCTATCAGTGACAGTGCTTAAGATGTTAAAAACTCACAATCAGCAAGCTCTTTTATAAGAAATAATGCAATGATGTAGAAATGTTTTGTAATGTCTCCTACCATGATAAGATTATTTTATGTAGTTATGCTATCACTCACAATTTGGAATATAAAAATATGCATTCATGTAGTAATTGGGTCCCAAATGTGAATCTATGGTGTCATCATATCTGTTTTTCAGTCATTTCGCTAGTTCTAAGACCCTTAAACTAAACAGAAGAGAAGCCCTGGTGGCACAAAGGGTTAAATCTCAGCACTTTGAAGCACTATAAAGTGGCTATCTACAGACAATGTAGAAGGAATTCAGTTTGAAGCCAGGGAGCTGACCCACATGTCACAGCAGACCTCTCCTGTCTCCACTGCTGCTCCCCTCAGCAGTGTATTTCAGTAGATCTGCCTGTTCTACTCCTCACCGTCTCCAGTGAATCCTCTTAGCCCCTGCACCAATGCCCTATACTCCAGTTCTTGTATGTAAAAATAAGTAGACCTTAAAAAAAAAAAAGTAGAACTACCCAGAAGAATGGGAAATGCTGCCTCCACTTTTGGGTGGGGAATGAAGTGGTACCACTGAATTCCTTGAATGGAATTTAGAAGTTAGTTTTATAAATGAATATGAATAAACCCTGTTATGGGTCTTATCATTCCACTGGATTCTGAGCTCCTTCTCAAACTTTAAGCAAGTCTCCTGTTATGAAACTATTTGTGACCCAGAAAGGTTTGGTGAGGTAGCATTTGTTAAGTGTAACACAACACCCTGCATCATCGCAAGATCATGAAAATTAGCACAGTCTTATCATGTGTGTCTTAAAGAGAGAAATTCTGACCAACTCAATTTCTTGAATTCAGAATCTACGCCTTAGTAAACAATCAAAATGTTTATTGAATGAATGCTTGAACAAATAAAAAATGTATTCTAAGTAGTTCCTATGGAATCTAGCTCAATGCACTTAAAGTAATGGTTAGTAAATTATAATTGTATTGACATTAATGACACATCTACTTTTAAAACTATATTGTTTAATTAAATAATTCCAGAACCTAATGAGTGAGTGGTTCAGTGAGGTTTTA